CGCTAACAACCACAAAAACAGTGCGCTCAGCTAGAACAGGGTTCCTCAACCTTGGCAACTTTAAGATGGGTGACCTTCAACCCCCAGAATCCCCCAGCCAGTCTTGCTGGGTGGGGAATTTTGGGAGTTGAAGTCCACCCATCTTAAAGTTGCCAAGGTTGAGGAACCCTGAGCTAGAAGATGTCCATTTGGAGTTTCCAAGCTCGATGTCTGCCAGAATGTTGTCCTGTTTCTTAGAGAGTTCTTGACATAGATTTCAGAGAACAGTGTAATTGAAAACTCTTTATGACATAATAGTTTTGGAATAGTCTTCCCACAGTTCTCCATTTTCTGTCCTTCTTTGCTTCTCTCCTAAGACTTTTCTCTTCCTGTCTGATGCATGGTCTCCTGGATTTTTGGGTACTACACTACAGAAGATGGAAACCTCCTCAGTGTCTGCTGTGCTGCCTTTCTCCTTAATCATGGAGAAAGCAATCAGAGCTTTGCCTTCCAGGGTTCATCACTCTTCCAAGATAGACCTCTAATAATTTCTGTCCTGATAGAGTGATAAATGCTTTTGCTATGGTGTGTAGAGCTTTGCACAACTCACTAATTCAAACTAATTTTCTTCTTGAAGCCCTGACTGGCTGTTCCTCCACTACTTGTTCTCCTTGCCTGCCTGGTTCCCTCTCAGTTCTTTTAGTTAACTTATCTACTGTTGTGCTTGCATTCTTCCTCCATCCAGTTTCTTTTCATGATAGGGATTCTGGCTTGTAATTGATTCTCTTTTGGAAGAGAGGGGATGGATACATCTGTTCCAGTTTCTTATTTTCCAGTCTGAAACTTACTTTATCCCTTTTCTGTTTCAGTTGGGGAATGTGCATTTTTGCACATTTCTGTTAATATATACTTTTGTAAACAGTATTGTCTCATATGTGCATTTTTTTGCAAAGTATTCCCAAGGACAGCAATATTTACATTAATATTGTCATTTTTGTACACATTTTTATTAAATAATTGCATCAGCAAATTCACAGAAGTGCCTTTAAAAGAATAACTAAGTTCATATATTTGGTCAAAATTAGGCTAGTTTATTTTCAAATGCAGATCAAATGAATTTTGCCTATACTCCTGCATTGCTACATAAAAGGATGGGCAACTTTTTTTTATGGCTTGAAAACTGCACTTGATTTTGATTTATGCACTGAAACACAGCATGCCAAAAAAGAGCATAAGATCGGCACAGCAGGGCCAAAAAACATTTGATTTGATTTAATTTAATTTAAATTATGTATGTAACTTAAATACAGTCAAGCTTAATACAGTATTCCCTTGTATTTAATAATTTGGCCCATTGCAACTTTAATATTTACAGTTCAGTGGGAATTTCTGGGACTGTACCCAAAGTATTCAAAGACCACATTTTTTGGAGCTTCAAGGTTGTGCAACTCCAATTTACAGAGATCTAAATTCCAAATTGTACCCTGATCTTTATTCTCCCAACTATGTTGGGTCTGCTACCTAGGCGGACAAGCTAAATCTTTATCATTACACAGCTGTATTATTAGATTCTCTCTAAATCAAAACAGGCCTCTAAAAACTACTAGATCACAGGTATGTGAATGTCTTATATGAGGTTAACAAACTTCAGTTTCATGTGAGATCATTTTGCAGGTTCTATCCTTTGATCAATGAGGGGTGGGCTGCTATTAAAAAGAAGCATTCTCTGTGGATGCTGATACCCTAGGACACAGCAGGATTAGGTTCATATGATACACAAAATCCTAATTAATAAATCACAGTTGCTATGTTCATGCAACATATATCCAAACAAATAAACCATATTATGGTTTAATGCAATGGCTTGATATCTCCAACATACTGAACTACAAATTACCCATCCCAACTTTAAACAAAGTATAGTGTGTTATTCAAACTTAGCCTCCAAGTAGTTTTTTAAACAAGCCTAGGTTTGTACAAATTCCTTTTTGGGAATATGCATATATAAGGATAGCAGCAGAGATACAGTAATACCATTTCTTCTCATTTAATTCAATTATATCTCTTGCTAAGACTAATCATTCCCCCACAACTAAAGCTTCTTTTATAATACTGAGCAAATTATTGTTTTCTTCCTGCACAGAACAGCAGGCATTCTCCAAATAAGTGGTTGACTTCAACTTCGCCTTTGTATAAATGCACCCAGGAGGTCGTCAACATAAAGCCAAATATGTATTTAAGTATATAGTCGCAGGGGGGGAAAATCCCACATCTGTCATTGCAACCATGGACCTAAGGGGTTCATGCTTTGAAGTGTTCATTTTCACAACTTCATAAAAATCCTTTCTCACATGTCCCTTTTCCAATATGAAGAAAGTGCTCTCAAGACGCTGATAAACAAAAGCTCTTGAGATTATTGTGAGTGTTATTTGGAGGCAAACACAAGTGTCATTTGCTTTTCTTTGTTCAAGCTGTTGAGGTTGATCTCATGATATGCTGAATACCATCCCTATTCACGGACCCAACAGTAGGATGATATACGTTAATGAAGATAAAGAGAACATAAATTACCTGTATAGCCTGGTATATTTGAAATGGCTACATTTTAACATTTCTGCTTTGTAATCTATAGATGTTTCTGTTCCTGTTATCACACAAAGCAAAACAGCATATTGCTTAAACAAAAAACTTGCATTCATAGTAACTCAGGGTGGTGAAGGGAAAACACCAGCCTCCTTGGGAGTAAGCACAACATCAGACAATGAGTGCCTGCAGACCCAGTGACTGCTAAGCATAAAGGCTGCTCCAAGGAAAGGGTAGATGTGGGGGAAGAAGGAGAAGGAGCAGGAGCCTGAAGGAGGTGCCAGATGAGAACAAAGAGAAGCCTACAGAGAAAGTGCTCTACCAGATAAGAGCACTTATCAGGCCTGTGTGAACAAACACCCACATCTTCTGTGCTGCCTGGCCAGGATTCAGCTCATTGTCCAGGCAGAGAAGAGAGCTATTCCTCATGCTGCGTAGTCTTACTGAATGCTCAAGGGACAGGGGAGAATAAACTTCAGCAGGTTTTTTACATCTTTGGAGAGTCCAGTGCTTACTTTCTGTTACTCACTAGTCAGCTCCCCACCCCTCTGTCTACAAGGGTCTCTGCCACACTCAGTCATATGGGAATGTAAGCATCTGGTACAAACCACAATGAAGTCACATGCTTTAAGTTTTTGTCATGCAAATGATGCAATTTGCATCAGTAGCATCATGAAAGATGACATAATTTGCATAATGTATAATGACATCATGATGCATGTGATTTCATTTGCATCTTTTGCCCCCATAGACACTTATGCATGGGAACTGCTTTACTGTGCCTTTTTCCCTTAGATGAAACCTAATATTGTAACGAAGGAGTTGAAAACGTAGCTACTCTGTAAGCTTTTGGGATCAGTGCTAGGGTAGGAAACAACTTACAGTGTGGTGTCATGGTGAAAATCCTGGACTAACATAGGAGAGGTTGGGCTCAGCCTTAAAGATCACCATCACTTTCTCTCAACCTAAGCTAGTAGAATTGTTTTGAGAATAAAATGATGGGGATGACCCTTGGGAACTAGCTTTAGCTCCTAGAAAGAAGGAAATATATAAATGCAATAAATAACTGAATTGATGAACATGACAGATTTCAGAAGGTAGAAGGGGGGAATTTCAGAATACCTGTTCAGAAAGTCATGGTCCATTATAAGCCAAGCCCAAACTTTCCTACTGTATGTAGCTTGATGGATCTTTTAGCCCTCCCTGCCAGCTCTTTCCCCTGGCTTAAACAAACATGTATATTGATTGATTGATGTGCCTTCAAGATAGATTTTCTCCATGACAATCTATCCCTAACCTGTTTTTTCAGGTCTCCCAACAGTGTACTCATCATTACTGTAACTGAGTCCAAACATGTATTGGGTAAAACTGACTGCAGGATGGGCTTCCTGGAGACACAGCAGGACTTGTTGGCCTACTCCTTAAGCTCAGGAGAATTTTATTTATATTTATTTATATTTTTAAAAATTATATCTTGCCCTTTGGATGCATAAGAGCCCCTCAGTGAGATTAAGAGATATATTTCCATGCCTCCTGACCTAGTTAATTGAATCAGGAAGAATGGGAAATTACAACTTCCCATGAATAATGTAATATTCACTTAGGAGAAAACTAGCAGAAGGACTGGACACAAAAGAAATTTGTCAGGATTTCAGTGGAAGCAAATTGCTACACTCCATCAAATTGTACATAGCCATAGTATGAACTAACATCACTGAATGGAATTTGGTAGCATTCATCAGATTTGTACTCACAGATTTGCCCCCAAAAGCACACATTTTGGAAAGGTGTGTTGCAACACTGGCTTATCATCCCCATGACAATGAAATCTCTTAGGACTATTTAATATTTTTTCTTGCTTCACTACTTGTTGTATGCAGTGATCTGTTGCTAGGGAAGATGCACTAAAAAAACTTATCTTCCTACTCAATATCTTGGGGAAACTTCAACTGGGCATGAATCACACATCTATAAACTTGGATCTATGCTTTTTTCTGTATAGGATAGAAGCTAGTTCTACACTGTAGCCTAACTGAAAGTGACAACAGGCCACACCGCTTCTTTCAACAGTGGCTTGGAACTTAGATCCATCCTTCTGGCACTTACCTGGCATATAAAACCGGTAGATGAGCACTGTCGTACCCAGAGACTGAATTTCCGCTTTTTCCTCTTACGTAATTCTCGTTCTGTGCAAGTGGCAATGAAAACTGGATCTTCATCAATCAGAGGCTCATGGAGTACCTATAGTCATAATATGGTAATGTTATTTGGTCCTAGGCTAGAAAACAATGTTGAGAAATCCTCTTAAGCATCCCAAAATTGAATGAATCTCTTATACAAGTGGTCTATCCTACTTAATGGGTTATTCTGGAGGTAACTTAAGGTCATGCCACCTATGATTCTAAGCAAGTTGGAGGGAAAGTAGTCCAGAGATATTATTAAATAACTTTTTTTAAAGTTCCCTCCCCTTTCTCTTCCCCACCCATCAGATTTGTAACATGGCTTCAATTCTCACAGTAAATACTCCATGCAACAAAGAAGCTTGTGAACAATATCTAGAAAAGGCATTAGTCAGGTATTATAAATTATTCAAATCATAATTCTTGTTGAAGTGTATCTCTGATTGCTGAATACAGATTCTAATTATGTAGATCAGAAAATTCAGGTGTAGTACCTGACCATGGCATCTTAAGTACTGTACAGAAAATTCACCATCATAAATTGCAATGTTTTCTTTGGCATTGACAAAGTTGTAAAATGTTTATAATGAACTTGTTTCCTCCTGAGGACCCAGCTTGGTAATCATAATTCCCACCAGAATGTTAAACTTTGGCCAAGTTCATGTTGGTTCTTGCCAATTGCGTTCTGCTTCTCCAGATACCCAACAGCATCAAAACTATTAAATGAGCACTTAAAAAGCAAACAAAAGGTTACCCAGTCAAACAAAGGACTGTTTTAATGAAAGAGAATATATATAGCTCAGAGTTGAACTGTGGAGTCCTTGGTGCTCTCTGAGGTTGGTTGTTTGCTTGCAGACGTTTCATTACCTGACTAGGTAATATCAGTGCGAGTGAGTGTGGTGTTTGCTCCCTGTTTATATACAGTACTTTGGCCTGCCAGTGTTGGTGGGGGTGTGGTTTTCTCCTTGGTAGTTCCTTGATTAGGGTATTGTGTTCTGCTTGATTGTTTGTCTGGTGTTAATCCCTGTTTAACTGGGTCTGGAATATATCAGCATTCCTCTGTGATTACCCAAATGGGTATGAACCTTGTTATGCCTGTTTAACTTACAGAGGCCACACTCGATAAACAGCTCTTAGATTCCAATCACTAAGTGTTCACACATCACACTAAACTATAATAAGATTGCTTGGTTTGGGGATAGATAGATAGATAGATAGATAGATAGATAGATAGATAGATAGATAGATAGAATTAAACTAGGTGGTTTTTTAAATAAGGAAATTATTTACATACATGGAATTAACAAAATAATATAACAAAGACAGCCTGGGAGTTTAATTCATAAACAAAACAATTACAAAAAATGGGACCTGTCAGGCCCAGCCCAAGAACAACAGGGAAGCAATCCAGCCAAGTTCAGTTCTTTATTGCTTACACCATATAGACAGAATCTTGCCAGACTAAATCTATACTATGCTAACCTAATAAATATACTCTGGGAGAATCTAGGGAGTGGCAATCTTAAGTCTCTTCTTCTTCCCATGCTCCTGCTCTGGACTATGTTGCCTCTTGTCACCCACCTGGATCTCTACTGCATACCATCACATCACCTCCCCCTTCATAGATACATTCCATCACAGGACCAGGTAACTAAAAAATCTTTTTTATTGTTCCTTTGTCAATAATAGCCTAATGCCAGTGTTGACAGGCTAGATATCAGCAATATCCATTGGTTGTCAGGCAGGAATAGATTTGCCTTTCCATGCCTTGGCCCATCCCCCATGCATAAAAGGTCCACAGTTCTTGATGCCTTGATAGATTGCAACTGCCGGGCAAACAGCCAGCAAGACTTAAGTATCCATAACCAGCAGTGATTGATCTAGGGTGGCGTTAACAATTGTCCGGAATGAAGGAAAAAGAAAACAAGTCTAGACCATGTGAGTTAATGTTTCAACTTCTGGATTGCATCTCCAGGAACACAAAATATATTTTTCCATTATATAAACCTCATGTCAAGATCAAGAAAAATTAATTTTACATCCTTTAAGGTGAACTTCTACTGGCTACAGAGCACTTAACCTTGTTGTTCCAAAGTTTGCATAGTTAATCAGCTTCCTTTAACTTATTTAAAAAAAAAAAAGCTTTCAAGCCACAACTTATTCTTCCAAAGACTATAACAACTGTGCAAGTTATGAGGCAGTTATGCTATCAGGAATAAACTGCCCAAACCATAAGAGCTTAAGGTGAATAAAATGTAAGAAGTCAATCAAATGGTCTAAGTTCTACAAAAGTTAAAAAAAAAGTTTTATTCTAATTAAATTGGCCTACACTAACAATGTTGTGAAAAACCCAGTTTATTGAGTTGGCTTGGCATGTAGTGTGAATTCAGTCACTGTGATTTGTTCATTGTGGTTTATGGCTTACAACAAGGCACAAACTCAGGTAACTGTGGCTTGTTCGGTACACCACAGCTTAGAACAGTTTGTTAATCTGGCCTTTGCCATTTTTTAAAAATCGAATAAACACTATCACACATGTCATGGTGGGAGGGGATTCTTGCAATCCCTTCCTACCATAGAGGATATGTACAGCATTCCTAATGCACCTACCATTTCTCTGCCTCCCCTTGTTGCCCTTGCAATTGCTCCCCAACCTTGCAGTTAAAACTCTTTAGCACAACCACAGGGGCTTGTAAGAAGCCATGATGATGTCATGCATATCATGACAAATCAAATCAAATCTTTATTATGCTCATAGACCAGCATAGTATACCATGATATCTCTGCAGAAATGACACAGATTAGGCCATCTGCATGAGGGGTGTACAATAATTCACTTGTGTGATTCCCATGAGCACAACCTATGTTCTCAAGATAGAGAAAGAGGGGTCCTCAAAAATCCCCATGTAATAAGAAGCACAATGTGTGATAGCAAAAAGGGAAGAGGTTATCCCTTATTCCAAACTAGCCTATCTCTTTCTTCTCAGTCAATGTAATGACCCAGAAATTCATGGTAAGCCTGATCGAAACCCAGTGTTATTAAAAGAAACCTTCCCACAGCTAAATGTATATCTCTTCATTGCCAGAGAAGCCTAGAAGTCTTGTGCTGTTTTCTGTCTTACTGTGGTATTATTATCTGAAAGAGGAATAAAAACATAACTCAGGATTTTGAGGCTTTAAACTCAGAGTTGCCTGTCTTCAGATCTGTGATTACTGTTTAATGTGATTCCTCCCCAGTTTCCTTTCCTTTCCTTT